AAAAGAACTCTAAATACCCTATTTATTAATTGTAGTATAGGTAGTATTTCCTCTTAACTTCAAATAAAAATTAATACAGTAAGCCTGTGAAATTCTGTATGCGTGTAAGGTGAAGATCTATGAAAGAAGAAAAGCACAAATACTTTCAGCTAAAACGAGTGGTAGAAAAGTGAAAATCCTTCACTCTGTCAAAGACAGCAAACATGTGACAACGGGAGAAAGACAATCCCGTCAGATTCCAGCCCTCACGCATTTTACTGCATGTGGTTCCCGCCATTTGTAGCGGAGTGTGCACAGACGTCCAGCCCTGGCTGCCTCAAGTGGGATGCCTTTTAAACAGTTCCTGGGAGGATTGTGAGGCTGGCGCAGGCCCGGGCGGTGTTTGCTTCCACTGTGCACAGGATCACTAGGAGTCGGAGAGAGCCCACAGCACCCAACAGCCACAATAACATTCTCGTGGAGGAAAAGCAAGGTTCGTTCTATTTTGTTTTCAGGTCACCATTTGCTTTAAGGGTCGTGTCTCTCTTCATCAGGAACAGGGTTTTCCATACATGCCATCTGAGTTTCTCAGTGTTGCTGAAAGGAAATACAACAAGTAGGTGGATTTTAAGAACATAAATTTATTTTCTCAAAGATCAGGAGGCTGGAGGTTCAAGTTCAAGGCACCAGCTTTATGGGAAGGCTCTTTCTCTGTTGAGTCTGTGAGGAGATGCTCCTTACAGCTCATGAAACCCCAGTGTTCCTAAATTCCTTGGTGATATCTACCACCTGTGCTTCCTTGGCTCTGTGTCCAGTCTGCTTTGTCCATATCTCAAAAGTGATGCTTTCAGACACACCATTCACTGACGTGGCCTCATTAACACAGCAGAGAAAACACGATTCCCACACAGGATTGCATTCACAGGCATAGGGTTTAGGGTTCCAATTCAAATTTTGGGACACAAAATTTAATCCATAAGATATGTCATTTCCCACTGGTGGATCTTCTTTGGGTTGTTTTGATTTAAAACTGAGGCTAAATTCTCTTAATGCACAATTATCATTTTAAAGTGTACAACTCAGTGGCTTTTAATATATTCATTATGGTGGATAACCATCAACTCTTTCTTGTTTGAAGACATTCTCACCATCACAAATAAAAGTTCTAAAGCCATTAATCAGTCCTCCAAGCCTTGGCAACCATTAGTGTGTGCATTCCCTTTAAACTAGAATTTCCAGAGTGATAAAGTATAGACATTATGGGATGTGGATTGCATCTGCAGGGCCCATGTCAGAAGGGGAGCAGAAGTGTCAAGATCCTAAACAGAAGTGTGCATTTCTCTGTGTGTGGACTTGAATTTGAAAGTGGGGATAGTTGTTGTAGTTGTTAATTGCCTTCGAGTCAGCTTGGGGCCTTGTGACCTTATGTATACCAGAAAGAAACCCTGCCAATCCAGCCCCATCTTCAAAAATGGTTGGTAGGTTTGAGTCCAAAGTTGTGGTGATTGTGTCAATCCACGTCATTATGGTGCCCCTTGCTTTCGATGACTTCTGTAGCTGACAGGATGCACTTTTATGGTGATTGGTCTTTTATGGTGATGTGTTCAAAGTAAGGCAGCCAAAACTTTACTACCTTCATTAGTCATCAGTATTTGCTTTTATTATTTCCAAGATTGACATTTCCAGTTGTAGGGAAAACACAGTGTATTCAATGTTCATGGTGAATGCCACAGCCATAAACCAACTTCCCTACCACCCTGTCCTTCACTCTGTGTCCCCAAGAGAATGCAGACCCACCTTCTTCTCTCACTTCTGTCAGGAGGACCTACGTAGGGGTATGGTAA